GTAAAAAGCAAAAATTTATCGAAAAGTTGAGTAAAAGTGTGTTAAATATAAAAAAGAAAATAGAAAATTAGGCGCCCATAAACGTGACATCCCGAACTGGTTTGATTTCTTTTATAAAAACTTATGGTCAACTAGATCCAAATTTTAGCCACTTCCTGATAGCAGAAACTGCAGATTGGAATGTCATTAACAGTGTAATCTGATAGTCCTAAAATTCTGGACTACAGTAATCCCCGCATTTTTTCTTGTCAATATTTCTTAGAAAGCGGAGAACGTAAGATATTATTAGGCAAAAAAATATCCCAGCCACCGCAAAGGCAGTCTCAGGAGTATACAGCGTGTCTTCAGGAGGATTCCAAAACAAGAAAGAAAAGGAAACAGTTTTAGTAATCCTATATAGGTTTTAAAAAGGTCTTCTGCGAAAAGGTTGAAAGCTTGTGATGCTCAGCTTTTTATGGACTTGGAATCGAACTTACAGAGAGCTAAGTTTTCGATACTAATAATGTTAAGCATACATTTGCATAATCTACCCTCTTCTCTCTCACTTTTTTAGAGTTTTTAGTATTCACGCCCATCTGACTAAAACGTTAAAACAATCTTCTCTTCACTTGAAAAATGCAAAGAAGTTTCAAAACCTGTGATAAACGATGACAGAATAAGCAGAAACAAATTGAAATAAGATTTTGAAACAGGTTATTTGGGCTTTTAAAGTATTCCTTTGGTTTTTCAAACCAAAAAAGAGAAATTTCTTTATTGTCACATCTCCAATTTTTGTTATTTTTACCTTTATTGAGAACATGACAAAAAGCCGACTTGAATGATAAAACCATGGTCTACAGAGGAGGTCATTTCTAATTTGTTGTGTGATTTCCCAAGAACGAACTACCCCTCCTCAAGGAAAAAATTTCAACTGCTTTGGCACAGTGCCACGTTGTCATACAGAGGTACCTGAATTTATCCGAACCGCCTCTTGAGGTATGCTAAACTTTTAAGCCTCTTGTAATCATGAATTCTTACCTATCGCACATTGTTTGTTAAAGTTTTACCTCTTTATGTTTACAATTTTTTGCCTTTATTTCCTTTTTTAGCTGAAAGATGAAAGTGACTTTAATTTTTAAATATACTTTTTAATGACATAACTGTAATAACCTTGTTAGGTCCCCCTATACCGTAACTGTTTTTCTGATTACTGTAATCTACGTTTAAAGTAGTTTAAAAGGATGTAAAAGAAACTGATTGTGAAGACAAGTTAGCCAAGACAGAGGCTCATGAATTGTGGGAGGAATTAATAGTAAGGTCTAAAGAATCGAACACAATATGTTTCTGCCTTTTTTCCTCGCCATTTCTTCCTACTTCAGTTCAATATTTGCTACCTTTTAAGTAATATTTTTATGAAGGTTCCCTAATCTAATAAGAGACTCTATTTCTCCTATAATTTCATGGGCCTCTATTTCGACTAACTCGTTGTTCACAATCGTTTTCTTTACATCTAACAAAGTTATTACAGTTATACTATTAAAAAGTTTATTTAAAAATTAAAATTACTTTCACATTTCGACTGAAAGAAATGAAAGCAAGAAATTGTAAACATAAAGAGGTAAAACATTAACTAACAATGTACAGTAGGTAACAAGTCATGAACACAGGTGACTTAAAACTTTAACACCTTAAAGAGACGGCTCGGATAACCTCCAGGTAAAGTGATAAAGTAGTATTGTGCCAAAACCGCTGGAATTTTTTCCATAAGAAAGGATGTTTAGCTCTCAAGAAATTTCACACCAAATTAGAAATGAACTCCTATATAAGTATAAGCTTCGCTAATTTTGGCGTGCAGTATTTTAATTCGCCATCCTCAGTGTTGTGTTATTTGCTTTTTCAAAAATTATCCTACACCCGACGGAATTAGTTAAACCACTGAGTTTAAAATTTTTTCTTCGCTACGTAATACCTTACAAAAACAATTCATTTAGTCGATTTAATGGTTTCTTCTTCACTTTTAAAGATCATTGTTTAATAAACTATATTTGACATATAATTTTTCAAATCTTTTTCATGAGCCTAATTAAGATTTCCTCATTTACTTGGCCCTT